AAGAAAGAGAGGAAACTCTTTGATGACCCCAATAGCTCCCTTGAGACTTTGGTTTCCGTGTACAAAGTCAATGACCTTTCACACCCTCAGACACGGTTCAAGGTGGATGTCAATGCTCAGGAGAACCGATTGACGGGGTGTGTGGTTATTTCAGAAGGTATTAGCGTTGTGGTGGTTGAAGGTGGTAATAAAGCAATAAAGCGTTACGGAAAACTTATGCTTAGAAGGATTGACTGGGCCACTGCTGTCAAAACAGATGGGGATGGAGATGACGAGGACGATGAAGAGAAGGCTGTTAACAAGTGCGTCTTGGTCTGGCAAGGGAGTGTTGCCAAACACAGCTTCCACAGGTTCCTTGTTCATGAATGCAGGACCGAAGCTGCGGCACGGAAGATTTTTGCTGATGCTGGTGTTCCCCACTACTGGGATCTTGCTGTCAACTTCAAGGACGAAGATTTTTGAATCCTGAGATGGGTACTTCTCAACAAGGTGCAACTTTCCTGCTCTTTATTTGGTTTCGTGCTTCTTTAGATGGAGTTTTAAGTAATCATCACCAATTTTTACACCTTGTTTGTCCAGATGGGATAAACTAGTTAGGGGCATACCCTCATACATATTGACTACATGGGTGTCAAATGTCTTTTGTTGTATGCTTGTCTATCTGATTCACTCTGCTTGAGGTTCGTCACGAGATTGACTAGTTTGATGTTCCTCATTTAGAAGAGAAACTATGTCGATGAAATCCTTTTTTTTACGATTTGAGTTGAACTTTTTAATAGCGCTGATGCTTTTCGACTAAATCCCTTAATATAGTTTTGGTGATTAATGCAATGAAGTTCATGTCAAAGTTAATTTGAAAAACTTAATTGTTTCTTCAAGTGCTTGTTTTTCTTGTGTGTGTGTGCACGCGCGCGCATGTGGGTGGGTGCATGTGTGTGTTGTATGGCTGGTGGTTTTGAGTTTGTTTTGGATTTCAAGTTCATGATTTTTGAATCCTTTGAGTTAATTTTTTTTGGATCTTGACTAAAGTCATGATTGTGAGTTTTTGTTTCAACTTTTTATGTCATGAAAAGTGAATTACAGTCACATGTTTTCAAGTAATGACCACATGATAGAGGAAACATAGTCGATATTATTCGTAACCAAGTAATTGTTTGCTAAATACTCCGGGTAATTGAACCCTAAACCCTAAACCTTCCTAAATAATGTTTAGGGGAAGGTTCAAGTGACATTGAACTCTGATGTCATGGGATGACCCGAGGGCGTTCCGGTGCCCCGTTCGTAAAATTGACGGTTCCTACCCCCCTCCCACGGTAAATCCCCCCACCCGGCCCCGACCCGAACACCCCCCCCCCACCCCCTTCAATTGCATCCCACAAGTTGATTTTGACTTTGGAGTCAAATTCTGCAATCAATAAAGAATAATCAAAACTCCAATTTCTCCTCTCTCATTTATTGGAGCCTGGAAACGCTCGAAATTTTTCCTCTCTTTGCCTCCCCTTTCTTGGAGCCCGAAGACACTCAGAGTTCTTCCATATCCGATACGATATTCGTATCACACCTCCATCCATGAATCCATGATATTATATATGCTCCCATATCCTGCCTCAATTTAAAGGTAATTTGTGTTAATGAGAGGGTGAGCTAAGTTATGTGTCACATTTATTAATTTGGCCTCACATGGAGTATGTTGGGATACAGTGTGGGAACAGAAGATTCTTAACTCCTATCCAAGAGAAATGTTTGTATCACAGACAAAAAATAAAAGGCACAAAAGTCAAAAAATTTCCACATGTCAATTACACTACTAGAACAAGAAAATGATGTTAAAATTCAAGTTGTTACTCCCTCTTTCTTAAAATGATCTTCTCAGTCACTACTCACTTAGTCAAAATTTAATCACTTTTTTTATACATATTTTCGTTAGTTATTTGATAAAATAATATGGTCATGTTACTTCTTGTTTTGTAAAACTTTTGATGTAGTTTTAAAATATATAAATTTTATTTTTAAATTTTACACTTATAATCAATTAAATTAAATATTTCAATCAAACCTCGTAAACCAAACTGAGAAGATTATTTTTGGACCGAGGGAATAATAAATAAACATTTAAATTCACATAAATAATGCTTGATGTTGTAAACTCATTTGGGCCCAACAGCTTTCTTTTATTTTGAGGGGAGAGCTTTTCCCATATCCTAATTAGCCTCAAGACCATCAATTAGAGAGAATGGATACTGTAAGTGGTGGCCCAAGTAGCATCCCAAGATCCGTTTAATCCGAGGGACGACATGAATTTAAACATACTCCGTAATGTTTTAAGCATATTTGTCCAATTTTTTTATTTTTAATTAAATTAGTAAATTTTAATCTCAAATTTAATAAAAATGATATTAAATGTTGATACAAATACAACTTTAATAGATATTTAACATATAAAATATTTTCAAAATTTTATTTAATGTAATTTATAGACAAAATATATTTCGTTTAATTTTGACCGCCAAAGTTTAAAAATAATTGAAAGATAAAAGTTAAAACTGGACCGATATAAAGAAGTACAACTAGGTTTTTTATATAGATTTAAGGATGGGGTCCAACAATTTTTTAACCACAATGAAAATATCCCATCATCATTTGTTCCAACCAAACACTACCTTCTTTTGTTCTTACTTCCCACCAACAAACTAAAATAAAACAAAACCCTAAAGAAGAAACCCCAAGCAACAGTGGTCCACAAGCAGCTCCACTTCCCCATATCCGCCACTCCCTGCTGCGCCAGCACATCGGCTCCGGTGGTCACGCACGTCTCCCCGGCGATCCTGATCCCCAGCGTCCCGCTGATGCTACCCAGCAACCTCTCTTTTGTCTCCGGCGACACTCCGGCAAGCGGCGTCCCGTCGAACATCTGAACCCCCCGCACGAAGCACCTCGCCGGGTCGTCGAACTCGTTCTTCAGAACCGCCTCGTACGGGTACTTGATGAGTAGGGATGGCAATTCAACCCGAACCCGAGCTTAACCGACCCGACCGAGCACTAAAATATCCGAACCCGAACTGAGAATAAAATAATCCGAACCCGACCCGAATTTTTTTACCCGAACCCGACTTCGGGTCGGGTCGGGTGTGGGTTTATAATTTTACCCGACCCGACCCGAACCCGCACCCGACCCGACTCAAACCCGAATATTTAATAACATAAAAGCCTATTTATGGATATAATTAGCACTTCGTATAATCTCTTGACAAAGTGCTACTAAATCAAGTATGGTTTTTTTAATCATTTTTTATAATTCTTAATAAAAAATGAGACACAAAAAAGAGACACAAAAAAATTAGATTTAATCCTTTTAAAATTATTGGGGTACATCGAATTGATTATTGGTTAAAAGTCAAGTTCGGGTCGGGTTCGGGTTTTGGATTGAAATGCCGGGTTCGGGTCGGATCGGGTTTTTGACTTAGAATGTCGGGTTTCGGGTCGGGTTCGGGTTTCGGTTTTAAAAGTCGGGTCGGGTTCGGGTATAGTACTATCCGACCCGAACCCGGCCCGTTGCCATCCCTATTGATGAGGGAGATGTAGTGGAACCATATCTAGTACCGCGGGATCCGGTTCCGGTTTATGAAGAAGCCGCTGAGGAGGAGGAAGTAGGCCAGGATGGTGACGACGATGGTGTAGCCGAGCATCACGTGGGGGACGAGGCCGGAGAGGAACGTGACGAACGAGTTCCCCGCCCAGAACGAGGCGAGGATGATGGCAGTGTAGAATAGGAACCCGGAGAGGCCGCCGTCTAGGCCGACCGCCCAGAAGGTCAGGGCGGAGAAGGCGAGGGAGAGGAGGACTAGGGAGGGGAAGGAGGTGAGCACGTGGGAGAGGCAATAGGAGGATCTCCGGTAGGCGTTGTGGGCCGTCTCCCGCATGAATATGAACCTTTCTTGGATGAAAACCGGGAGGGCGTCCGCGCACGTGTAGAACATGGTCGACATTGCAAAGGCGAAGAAGCCGAGCCGCTCTTGGACGCTCTTCGGCGAGTCGTCGAGATGCCAGAAAATTGTGGCTAAGATGAACCCGGTCACCACCACCGCGCCTAACCGGGTTGCGAGTAGGGCCGGCATTCTCCCGGAATTCTTGAATGACCGGTTCAAAAGGACCCCGGTTTCCGCCCAGAACGGGTTTGCAAATGTGGGGACCAAGAAATTTTGATTGACTTCATTGGGGGTAGCCATGGCCCCAGAGACTAATTTCCCACGTGAAATGGCCCAGCCGATCGACTCCTTTAGTGGAAAAAAAGGAACCGGAGAAGATCCGGTCCGATTATTCTGCCAAGTCCGGTTGAACTCGGCAAGACAATTGGTTCCTTCGGGTGAGACTTCCAACTCGCGGATAAGGTCAAGAGCGAACTCGATCCGGTTCTCGTTCTCCGGGATCGGGTGACCAAAATCTGAGAAGAACCGTGGTAAGTCCGAATGCGAACCGAGGTAAACGGTCCGGCCGCGAGAGAGGAAGAGAACCCGGTCTAACAACCCCATGATCCGGTAACTCGGCTGGTGAATGGACATGACCACAATGCTCCCACTCCGAGCGATCCTCTGCAGAACTTTCACCACCATGAACGCGCTCGTAGAGTCGAGCCCCGAGGTCGGCTCGTCGAGAAAGAGGACGATGGGGTCGTGGATGATGTCGATGCCGATGGAGACGCGCCGCCGCTCCCCGCCGGAAACACCGCGGTGGCCTTCGTCTCCGATCACCGTCTTCGCGGTGTTCCAGAGGCCCAATTGGTCGATCAAAGCCTCGACCCGCTCGCGCTTCTTCGCCGCGGGGTGGGCCCGGGGGAGCCGGAACTCCACGGCGAACATGAGCGTCTCCTCGACGGTGAGCATGGGGTACAACAGATCGTCTTGCATGACGTAGGCCGAGATGACTTTCATCAACCCGGAATCCAATGGCTCTCCGTTGAGCTTCACGGCTCCTCTCAAGCTCTCCTTGGCGATCCGGTTCGCGAGGGCGTCGATGAGCGTTGACTTCCCGGACCCCGACGCGCCGAGAACGGCCATGATTTCCCCGTCACGCGCCTCGCCGGAGATGTCGTTGAGAAGAGTTTTCCCCGCTCCATCGCCGGAGTTCACCCCGCTCCGGCACCGGAAAACCGCCGGAATTCCCATTCTCCGGCGGGCTTTCACGGTGTACGTGAGGTTTTGGAAGGAGAGAACGAAAGGGAGAGGCGCCCGCGGCTCCGTCCCGCGGGCGGGATCACTCACCTCAAGAACACGGTGCACCGGAGTTTCATCTCCGGCGATCGAATCATCATAAGGCATCCTCTGATTAGCGTTTGTTGAGCGGTTAAGATGCGTTGGGTCTCTCTTATCTTGAACGTCACTCAGGTATGTATATATTTTGTAGTCTTGGTATTAAACTTCTAGATATGTTATGAGAATTATTGAACTACCTTTTATATGCTCTTAGTAGTTTATGGAAGTTCATTCTTTGTATTCTTTCATAACAGATTTATATTCTGTAATTATGTTTATACATTAAAAAATAAATAAGTATTATAAAAATTTGATATATTAAAATCACATATTAAAATGAATTTAATCATATTAAAACTATACTATAACTAAATATTATTGTACTATTTAGTTATAGTATAATTTTAATATAATTAATCATGATTCAATATTATAAGTTATAGAAATCATGACTAATATTATTAGTTACAATATTATTTTATTAGTTATAGAAATCATGATTTATTATTTTTAATTTAGAAAAATTAAATGTAAGTGAAATTCTAGGAAAGAAAAAAAAAATTGTTAATTATTTTTG